TTAAAAATATATATATTTGCTGCATGTAGCACTCCCTACCTCTTGTGCAGTAGGACATGTGTTTTTATTTCATCATTAACATCTGAAAGCAACCTTAATAGAAGTAAAAACTTAAGGTCAAATTAATATTAAAATTTATAATGTGAGTTTTGGGCCAATATTTGACTCACATAAGACTCCTTTTCTCGAAGAGGAATGGTTCCTTCCAAGAGACTGCCTTTTGTATAATGCAAGATAATTATCAGTTGTGACAACACCACCACTAATCTGCTTAAGCCCTAGTAGTTGTCAGTTTAATATCAGATGGTTGTAAGCACTTTCCATTGAAATTGAATTAGTCCAGGTTGGTAAAGCATTGGGCTACATTAACTTAATAATCAGGTTCTTTACTGGGATACTGTTAGCAGTAGCATAAGTTAAGGTCCATATCAAGACAGCTTGCTTTTATCAGCTGTTTGCATTAAAACTGACCACATTGTCAAACAGCACTGATTAAGTATTCAGGCATTGCTATTAATTAATAACAATATGTTAACCTTTAGTTAACATTTATTAAATGACAGACACTCTAACAACTGGCAACAATCCCATGAGGTAGGAAATATTACTACTGCCATTTTATAGATGTGGGAAATCATGGCCCAGAGAGTTAAGTCACTTTGTAGTCACAACCAGTAAATGGGGAAAGCTGACATCTCAACCAAGCGTGGCTCCAAAAGTGATATAAACAATAACAATGAAGATAAGCATATATAATAACACCACAGATCACTAATGGATATGTAGATTACAACAAATTAAATATCCCCGTTGTCATAAGCATTATATAACTGACACACGGAAGAGTGAATTACAAGCTGTACTGTTGAACTGTGTGAGAGTGAAGGGTAGAGAGGGAGACTTGAACCCCTTTAAGTTATGAGTGAAAGCTAGGTAGAAAAAGCAAAATTGTAAAAATGTGCTAAGTAACACACTAAAAGTGGGTAGTAGAAGAAACCTGTGAGTTAATACTACTGGGTTGCCTTAAAACTAGCAAGGTGATTACATGGAAAAAACTTAAAGGTTTTTGTGAGTGATTCAAAGTGACATAAGAGATGAAAAGAGGCACATGAGCCCAGGCTGTGCTTGTGAATGGTTTCAAAGGGGGTGCTGAGGCTTCGCCAGATGTGCCCAGGAATGGAAGCTGGCAGAGAATGTAAGAGGGCGATAACAGATGTCAAAATGGCAGAAAAGAAAATGGCCTTGGCTACAAGCGAGATTCTCATCAAGTCAGGGAATCCCACCTATTGGTGAAGGAAGACGGAAGGGGACCAGGAATTCTGCAAGAGCAGGAACAGTCTGCACTGTCACAAAGAAGTCTACATAGGAAGTAAAAATGTAAGCCCAGGACAGGCTGCAAATATGGAGACACCATTTAACTGAGCAAAAATAATCGACACCTGGGCTCCGTGAGGCAGAGACTGTTGCACCGCGCACTTGACTGTGGAATTAGCTGATGGTGAAGACGGCTGCTTGGGTAGCCTGGCTCAAACCCTTCACGAGCTTGCTTAGAAAGGTTAGCTAGGCAAGGGGAAAGCTACTATTACTGAGGTTAGAAAGTCTGAGAGCCCAGCTGGGCGTGGCTCAGCTGCTGAGCATTGACCTAGCATCCAAGCAATCAGGGTTCAGTTCCTGGTCAGGACACAGACCCGGGTTTTGAGCTCAAGCCCCATNATGGATATGTAGATTACAACAAATTAAATATCCCCGTTGTCATAAGCATTATATAACTGACACACGGAAGAGTGAATTACAAGCTGTACTGTTGAACTGTGTGAGAGTGAAGGGTAGAGAGGGAGACTTGAACCCCTTTAAGTTATGAGTGAAAGCTAGGTAGAAAAAGCAAAATTGTAAAAATGTGCTAAGTAACACACTAAAAGTGGGTAGTAGAAGAAACCTGTGAGTTAATACTACTGGGTTGCCTTAAAACTAGCAAGGTGATTACATGGAAAAAACTTAAAGGTTTTTGTGAGTGATTCAAAGTGACATAAGAGATGAAAAGAGGCACATGAGCCCAGGCTGTGCTTGTGAATGGTTTCAAAGGGGGTGCTGAGGCTTCGCCAGATGTGCCCAGGAATGGAAGCTGGCAGAGAATGTAAGAGGGCGATAACAGATGTCAAAATGGCAGAAAAGAAAATGGCCTTGGCTACAAGCGAGATTCTCATCAAGTCAGGGAATCCCACCTATTGGTGAAGGAAGACGGAAGGGGACCAGGAATTCTGCAAGAGCAGGAACAGTCTGCACTGTCACAAAGAAGTCTACATAGGAAGTAAAAATGTAAGCCCAGGACAGGCTGCAAATATGGAGACACCATTTAACTGAGCAAAAATAATCGACACCTGGGCTCCGTGAGGCAGAGACTGTTGCACCGCGCACTTGACTGTGGAATTAGCTGATGGTGAAGACGGCTGCTTGGGTAGCCTGGCTCAAACCCTTCACGAGCTTGCTTAGAAAGGTTAGCTAGGCAAGGGGAAAGCTACTATTACTGAGGTTAGAAAGTCTGAGAGCCCAGCTGGGCGTGGCTCAGCTGCTGAGCATTGACCTAGCATCCAAGCAATCAGGGTTCAGTTCCTGGTCAGGACACAGACCCGGGTTTTGAGCTCAAGCCCCATTCAAGGGCGTGCAGGAGGCAGCCGATCAATGACTCTCTCATCATTGATGCTTCTATCTCTCTCTCTCTCTCCTTTCCTCTCTCTGAAATCAATAAAGATATATTTAAAAAAAAAAAGTCTGAGAGCAAAAAGGCAGAAGTGATTTAAAAGCCAACAAAAATGAAAATACCACAAATGGCTAGAGTTAGTTTTGAGACTCGTGAGCCAGAGAAGACCTGTATGACAGCACTTTACAACTTAAATACCCCCTAAAGGCTCCAAAATAAGAACACGAGTGGGAATGCAAGCCCGGAAATAGATACATTATGCATATTTGCTCTCAAATGGCGATTCTTTTTGAAAAATGATCTATGTATGAGCCTTGTGGCATGATTCAAAACTGTAACTCCAGGATTCTTAGCAGCTGGCTCCACCATAGCTCTTTAAAAGAACTAAACTTCCTAAAACAGCAGGTCAGAAATCATACTAGCACAGAAAGTAATATAATCCCCTCCCCGCCTTTTTGGGGTCAATAGATAGTGTTCCATGGCTGAGCACAGTGTAAAAGCTACACCTACCAGAAGGGAAAACACAGAAAGTTAGCAGCCCCAGTCAGACGGCAGCGGCGTTCATGAGTGAGGTGGGGTTTAATCACAGCCCAGGGCCGAATGACTAAGATGGGTTTGCCTGGAGCTGGGTATGATACCCCAGAGTAAAAATGACATATTCATATTACAGCTTGATGTCTGTGCCAAAAAATGTTCAGCCCAAGAATGAAACACTGCACAATCCCAGGGGACACCATCCACTTGGAGCCTGTTGTGGATGTCCCTACAGTTGTCTCTAACAGCTGCCACCCTAGCCCGGCCATGCTGGTTCCAACGGCTTACTGTGCTTAACAGAGGCCTTGTGGGTTTATATGATATAGACCTTGTGGGTTTATATGATAAACATATCGTTCCTTCCTTGTTACCACTTGCTTAACTTTAAAATAGTCTAAAGTGCCAAAAATATTGTCTGATCCAAATATTTGTTTTATTGAAATAAAATATAGTTGATGTATTTTTCACACGATCCTGTCATGAGTGAATTTTCTTTTTTATTAACTGAGTAGAGTGAGCTCATGACAACAGTGACAGACAATGCCTGATGACTAATGAAACACCCACTGAAGCCCCTGAAATGTGATCGCCACCACAAATAAGCTAAGTCCCCACCCCATTTCTGGCTCAAGAAAAAAGTCTAGCATACTGGGGACAGCAAAGGTTAGTCACCTGTGGCATTTTCAGTGACTCTGTGGTGAACTACGACATGTAAACAAAACTCATACTCATTCCCCAAAAGACAGAATGAGATTTAGCACAGCCAGGGAATAGAGTCATGTAGCCAATCTCTTACTGTGTGTCAGCATTTCCCAAAATTGTTTCTGTGGAATATTAAAGGGGTTCCATGGTGAGTTTAAAATGCCACCACTATCCATCTGGGAGCATCACTATGCCTATTAGTTTACTAAGGCTCTGAGAAGTCATGCAGTGAAGAAATTGGTTTTGTTAACCTAGTTAGTGTTTCCCATGCTTATTTGTTCACAAAACTTGGTTTTTTGTTTTGTTTGGTAGAACATCAGTGATATCAGAGGAGTTGGGGAAATGCCAATCAAAGATTACCATGTATATATGTATTAATTATTTGTAAACAATTAAAATGTAACATCCAAACTAAAATAAGATTTATCTGATGACTGCTGAGTACTAAAGGAAACTGCAGTGCGGTCAACAAATGTTGGTTGAGAGCTTTACTTGGTAAAATGACAAGGGAAATACCATTGACTACATATTCAGTGATAACAGAAACAAAGGACAAAAAGCCTATTTTATATAGTACTCACTGTCACTTAGCACATAATTCTCATAAAATGGACAAAAACGTATCAATATTTGGGCTGAGAATTTTAAATGCTCAGCAAGAACATAACTGTACGTATTTTAAAACCAATTTATTAGAAAACAACTAAATGTCTATGACTTCAGGAGCTCATAGCCTTAACAATTATCCCTCCTCGTGCTACCAACTACATTGGGATTAGGTACTGATACCAAAACAATGGCACCTACTGAAGATTATTACAATACTTACCACATTACAAAAAGAATCCAGACCAATGCTATGTACATACTTAGTACATTCTGGATTAGACCAAGTAAAATTTAACAACAAGCTGAACAGCATTCTATAAAACAAAAACAAAAAGTCAGTTAGGCTAATTGTGTCTGTTTTTCTGGGCTATGGACTCACAGTGAGAAAGAAGACTGTCTTGGAATTTGGTGACGGAATCAAATCTGAATTCTTTATCTAAAGTTTATCCACACTTACCTTAAAAGAAGTTCTTTTGGTAACTTTTTGTTAATAAGGCCTTCATCATTATTTGAGAAAACCTAAAAGGGGGGAAAAAGGGAAATTGTTAGTGTCCCTCAATCAATTTTTTTTTAAATGTTACATTTTTTTAAGATCAGAACTGCCCAAATCACTGTCCTACAGATATGATACTACTTTCGTGAAGCTACCACACTTCAATATTGATAGATATAAGAACAGTTTATATCCTATCACCACTTTTATAAAAATGGGAACACACAGTCATTTCTATACTACATTGCACTGGAGGTTCTAGCCAAGGCTATTAGGGAAGAAAATAAATAAAAGGCATCTTGATTGGAAAGGAAGAAGTAAAACCACCTCTATTCACAGGTAATAATCTTGTATATAGATAATTCTAAAAATAAAACCACAAAAAAATATATCAGAACTAATCAAGGAGTTCAGCAAGGTTGCAAGATATAATATACAAATATATAATATATTTATATAAAAATAAATTGTATTTCCATACATTAGCAATGAGCCACCTGAAATTGATGTTAAGAAAACAATCTCATTTACAACAGCATTAGAAAGAATAAAATACTTAGGAATAAATTTGACTAAAAAAGTAGAAGACTTATACACTGAAAACTTATATAAAAAGGTTGTTGAGAGAAATTTAAAAGGACAAATATACTCATATCCCATGTTCATTAATTGGATGATTTAATAGTGTTAAGTTACCAACATTTCTCAAACTGATCCATAGATTTAATGAAATCTCTATCAAAATGCCAGCTGCCTTTTTATTGAAAAACTTAAAAGTTCATCCTAAAATTCATATGGAAATGCAAGAGACCCAGAATAGCCAAAATAAAGTCATGTGCTGCATAACGATGTTTCAGTCAATGAAAACGTGGATGTTCATAGCAACATTATTCATAAGAGCCAAAAAGTGGAAATAATCCAAATGTCCATCAGCTGATAAACAAAAGGTGGTATATCCATACAACAGAAAATTATTCACCAATCAAAAGGAACCAAGTGCTAACATATATTACAACAGAAATGAGCCTTAAAAATATTATGCCACATGAAAGAAGACACAAACAAAAGGCCACATATTGCATAAGTCTGAGTCCACAAAAACTTTCCCAGAGACTCCCCTATTCTGCTTCCTTGGACACCTCTACTCCTGTCCCATCTCTTTCACAGCCACTCCAGTGCTGGAAGTGGTGGTGGCTGAGTAGACACTACAGGGCAGAGGTGAGACACACCACGACGTAGGGAAGGCAGAGGTCAGGGTGTGGTCCAACCCATGGCTGACCATATCTGAGTTTGGGTCGTCTGCGCTGGGGTGGGCTGGGGGTTGGGGGGGGCGTGTAGCCAAGTAAATCCTGCAGGATATCATTAGACAATACAAACAGAGAGTTTGTCATAAAATAAAAAAGAGCTCGCTGGCTCAGCTGATAAGACACTGAGACTCCTAATCTTGGTGTAGTACATTCACGCCAAGCACTGGGCACATTCTTGAGGTTGGAAAGAAGCAAAATGGTTGAGAAGCCAGACTTTGAGGACAGACTGGTTGAGTTCAAGTCCTGGCTCTGCCACTTGCCAATTATTTGACCTTGGGCAAATTGCCTAACCAATCTGAGAGCGTTAAATGGGTATAATGCGAATCTCCTAGGGACGTTGGAAAAATTAAATGAGATGTTAAATGATCAGCCTAAAATTAGGCACAGTGAAAGGCTCTATGAAAGAGAATTACTGTTACAATTAAGCACTAAAAAGTATGCTCCAACCCCAGTGCAGACAAAAGGGAGACCAACATTGTCAAGAGTAAAAAAATTAATAGAGAAACCTCTCCTTTTCACAATCTATTAATATAGATCTCATTGTATAAGCTCTCTTGACTATATCATCTGATGGCAAATAGACCAAAACTGTCTGTAGATGTCAGATATACTTTATTGTAAAGTCTTCCCCTCACCTGTGCTTCCCAACGCCATATGGAAAGGGAAAGCCAAAATAGGGGAAAGTCCAAGAGAATAAATGAAAATGAGAAAACTGTATGATACAATGTTATTTTGTATTTCCAAAATATAAATCTGCCTTACAAGCTAAAGTATTAAGCAATAAAAACCTGATGGCAGTAAGTATCCTAATGTATATTTTGATCCACATGAATTAAAGTTTCAACAATTATTTGATATCTTTCTGCAACAATTTTAGAACATACAACTAAAATAAATGTAAAAATTACTATTAGGAAATGTCTCAGAAAATAAGTAAAATTTTATTTTTTAAAAGTTTCATTCCTCTGTCCGACCAGCGTGGCTCAGCAGTTGAGCAGCGACCTATTATCCAGGCAATCAGGGTTCGATTCCCGGTCAGGGCATAGGCTCAGGTTGTGGGTTCGATCCCTAGTAGGGGGTGTGTAGGAGGCAGTCAATCAATGACTCTCTCATCATTGATGTTTCTATCTCTCTCTCTCCTTTCCTCTCTCTGAAATCAATAAAGACATATTAAAAAAAAAAAGTTTCATCCCCCAAGTCTAAGAGACTTTATGTAAAACCCTGGTCGTTGTGGTTCACAAAAAGTGGGTGTCAATTCCTGAACACAAACTGAAACGACAGGAGGAATTTTCAATACTATTACAGCCATGATTATGAACCCTAATCTAATAACCTGTCTTGATCAATTCCTCCTCATTTCATCTTTGTGAAGGAGGGGAGAGAAGGCTAGGCATGCCTACTCTGTTTTGTAGCATTCAATCCTGGGCCAAGAACAATAAAACACAAGCGTTCGTAAGTGCTCAAAACATTAAAATCCAAATAAGAAAACTAATTTCTTAACATATATATGGCAAATCTATTGGGGAACATATAATGATACACTATACATTGCAGCATAATCCAGGGTTTACATTAGCAGGTTCTATGAAAAAGTGCCTGGTTTTGAAATCTGGCTCAATTTACCAACTGGGAGACCTGGGTAAGTTACTTTACCTTTCTGTGCCTCAATTTCCTCATCTCTAAATTGGGGAAATAGTATCTTCTTCATAGGGTTATTGGGACGGTTAAATACAACATAGGCACTTAGAAAAATGTCTTGCATGTAGAATATACAAAATAAATGTCAGCTGTCATTTTTATAGAGGCAGTAGAAACAAGCGGCTTAACTGAAAAAAATTTCATAGAGAAATAGTTATACAGAGTTCCAAAATTCACATGGAAAGTCATTTATAACAACTGTTAAAGTTGTATGTTTAAATTCAAGCATTTAATGAAGGGTGATGCTATAATCTCCAATGCAGTTTAGGGGATTATACAGGCAGCCTCCTCACGCCCCCTCCTATACCAACCATTCCTTCCCCACCTGCCTCAGAGCCTGGGCATCAGCTTTTCACTCAACTGAATCCCTTCCATGAAATAATTTTTTAAAAGAAAATGTTTTTACTGATTTTAGAAAGAGGGAGAGGGAGAGGGAGACAGAAACATCAATGAAGAGAGTCATGGATGGGCTGCCTCCTGCACGCCCCCTACTGGGGATGGAGCCCGCAAACCCCAGCACGTGCCCTGGCCGGAATCCCCGGGACCTCCTCATTCACAGGTTGACAGGCATCATGAAATACATTCTTTATTATTATTATTTTGTAATCCCCACCGGAGGATATTTTCCCATTGCTTTTCAAAGAGCGTGGAAGGGGGGAGAGAGCGAGAGAGAGAAACGTGGATGTGAAAGAGACACACGGACTGGCTGCCTCCCGCCCCGCCCCGCCCGCAGCCGGGAATCCAACCCCGGACCCTGCAGGCCACGGGCCGACGCGCTAACCACTGAACCAACCGGCCAGGGCACGACCCGCACCCTTAACGCTTAAGGAGGCGGGAAGAGGGAAGCATCTCCAAGTCCCGCAAAGCAGCCGCGGGCGAACAGCGACCTGAGCCGCTTTTATCGCAGGAGCAGAAGCAGCTCCGACCGTCACAGCGGGAGAGGGGGGCTGCGGGTCAGGATGGGG